TTTCTCATAGTAATGTAACCCTTGGTTCAGTCCAGGGCTAATCATAGGTAATTGAGACCTCAGAAAATAGGATGGTAGATGAGTGGGAACTCTTGCTATATGTACCACATTTTCTTTATTCATCCATCCATCCATCCTTGGACACAATTTAAATTGCTTCTCTACCTTGTCTGTTGTGAATAATGCTGAAATTAACATTGAAATGCAGATGTTTATTCATTATTCCAGTTTCCATGCTTCTGAATTTATGCCAAAAATGTGATTTCTGGATCACATAATAATTCTATTTTTAATTTTTCAGGTAATTGATTCAGTTTTCCATAATGGGTGTACTGATTCCCATCAGCATCCTATAAGGATCCCCTTACTACACACCCTTGCCAGCATTTATCGTTGGTTGTATTGTCTTGATCATAGCTGTCCTAATAAGTGTGACATGACATCTCATTGTGGTTTTTAGTCACATCTCCCTGATAAATGAACAAAACCTCAACCTCTCTAATTATCTGTTGGCTACTGTTATCTCTTGAGAAATGTTCTTTCCCATTTTTTGATAATGCTGTTTTCTTGCTGTTGAGGCCCTTTTGGATGTTGGGCAAGGTGTGTAATTTGAAGTGTCTTCTCCCTTCTGAGGCTGTCTCTTCACTCTGTTAATAGTTGATAAAACCCTGTCTCTCATAGAAACTAGAGCCTATCCTCATATCTTTTAATAAGTGAAGAGCTAAACAAACATACATCTGTAAAATGAAATAGTGCTTCACAATAACAAAGAATGAATTATTGATTGGCATGTTAGTACGGATGAATTCGCATTTTGCCAAATAAAAGAATTCATTTACATTCCATGTTAAAAAAGGCAAGACTATAGGCAAGAAAATCAGACCTCTGATTGCCAGGTAGTGGTATAATCCAGAGAATAATATAAATGTCCTTGATTTTTGTACCAAAGAATGTAAAATTCATGAAGGAACCATTAGATCACCACAATAATAATCATCACAGGCAAGATCCATTTGTGAATGCTAATGTTAATGGGCAAAAGCTAGAGAAACAGGATGTTTGCATAGTTGGCAAAATATTTTCCCCTAAACATTTATATAAGAAAACTGTCAGATATTACCTTAACCAAGTAATCATGGTTAATATCACCATCTATAAAACCTAGACCCCCCCCCAGTCCATTGCATTTTGTTGTATCCTCCCCCGAAAAATGCACAGCCTCAATCAAATCATGAGGAAACATAAGACAAAACTAAGTTGAGGATGTTCTGCAAAATGATTGACCAGTGCTTTTCAAACTGTCAAGTCCAAGAAGAACCAGGCAAGGTTGAGCAACTGTTACAGTCTGGAAGAGACAAAGGAGCTGTGACAACCAAATGCACCGTGCGATTATAGATGCAATCCTGGAATAGAAGAATAAATTAATGAAAAAAACCTGGTGAAATCTGAAAGGAGTCTCAAGTTCAATGCATAGTATTTTACTAATGTTAAATTTTTAGTTTAGAAAAATTTACTGTAGTTATGTAAGACGCTGACAGGAGAAACTGAGCATATGGAAACTCAAAGTACTATCTTTGAAAATCTAAAATTATTTCAAAATAAAAAATATGGATATTTAAGAGTCCAGTTTTACTTTCATATATTTCACAATTACTTATAAAATACCAGTGGATGAAAGAAGGCTATTTTTCTTTTGACTACCACCATCATCAGACATACTTGATGATTTTTAATGTTGTGATTTATTCAAAATGTTTTGGTAGTGGTTATTTTGGTTGAAGTTTTAATAAAAGATTAAATAAGCAGAGTTTTTTTTTATTGTTGGTCGTTCAAAACATTACATAGTTCTTAATACATCATATTTCACAGTTTGATTCAAGTGGGTTATGAACTCCCAATTTTACCCCGTATACAGATTGCTGTATCA